GTCAACATGGGCCAGCATCCCTGTGGAACGCTTCCGACACCTTGTAGAGTCCATGCCTCGACGAATTGAAGCTGTTCTGAGGGCAAAATATTAGGAAGGTGTTCTTAATGTTTTGTACACTCAGTGTATAATCTAATATAGTAATGAAGTTAGAATAAAAATAAAACAAATCAAATGAATTTGTCAAATGTTGGATATTATTTACATTTATACAGCATTATAGTCACAAGGGGATACCTGCCCTGGCCTGAACTCTCTCTATTTCACTGCCTGGAGGTTATCTGACAAGCCAAACTACCAGATCACATGGACATAAAACCAAGATAGCTAAAGAAATTAGAATACATGCATTTTCACTGTTTTGATTGTGAATGAGAAAAAAAACTGTTTTAGTTCAGATAAAGTACTTCCCACTGGGCAAAAACTGGTTGAATCAAAGTTGTTTACATGTGATTTCAACCCTGAAAAATTTTATGACGTTGAATCAACGTGCAAAAAGTCATCAACATAAGGGCATTTCGTATTTTTTTCACCCAACTTTTAACCTAAATATAATGACATGATGAATTCACATTAGTTTAATGTAAATCAAAACTAGATGTTGAACTGACGTCTGTGCCCAGTGGGTTACTACAGTTTGTATGAAACATATAGTCCTTACTCCTTGCTATATGGCGTGTCAGCATTGCATGGATTCTGGGAACACTAAGTAGATAAGAGTAAAGGTCACATTAGATAAGGTGTGGGACACGGGGCCAATGGATGGATTGTGGTGTTTTTCCTCCTTTCTCTCCAAACATTGAGCAACAACAACCTTTCACTCACAGAGGAAAGCAAAACAATTCTATTCTTGCCTTTTGACATTGATTCATAAACCCAATATACTGCCCTTAATGAATGTCCTGGTCCTTTCCATTTTTAGAAAGGTGTTTTACTACAGACAGGAGAAAAAGTATAACACTTAAGAATAATACACTGCTCAAAAAAATAAAGGGAACAGTTAAACAACACAATGTAACTTCAAGTCAATCACACTTCTGTGAAATCAAACTGTCCACTTAGGAAGCAACACTGATTGACAATAAATGTCACATGCTGTTGTGCAAATGGAATAGACAACAGGTGGAAATTATAGGCAATTAGCAAGACACCCCCAATAAAGGACTGGTTTTGCAGGTGGTGACCACAGACCACTTCTCAGTTCCTATGCTTCCTGGCTGATATTTTGGTCACTTTTGAATGCTGGCGGTGCTTTCACTCTAGTGGTAGCATGAGACGGAGTCTACAACCCACACAAGTGGCTCAGGTAGTGCAGCTCATCCAGTATGGCACATCAATGCGAGCTGTGGCAAGAAGGTTTGCTGTGTCTGTCAGCGTAGTGTGCAGAGCATGGAGGCGCTACCAGAAGACAGGCCAGTACATCAGGAGACGTGGAGGAGGCCGTAGGAGGGCAACAACCCAGCAGCAGGACTGCTACCTCTGCCTTTGTGCAAGGAGGAGCAGGAGGAGCACTTCCAGAGCCCTGCAAAATGACCTCCAGCAGGCCACAAATTTGCATGTGTCTGCTCAAACGGTCAGAAACAGACTCCATGAGAGTGGTATGAGGGCTCGACGTCCACAGGTGGGGGTTTGCTTACAGCCCAACACAGTGCAGGACGTTTGGCATTTGCCAGAGAACACCAAGATTGGCAAATTCGCCACTGGCGCCCTGTGCTCTTCACAGATGAAAGCAGGTTCACACTGAGCACATGTGACAGACGTGACAGAGTCTGGAGACGCCGTGGAGAACGTTCTGCTGCCTGCAACATCCTCCAGCATGACCGGTTTGGCGGTGGGTCAGTCATGGTGTGGGGTGGCATTTCTTTGGGGGGCCGCACAGCCCTCCATGTGCTCGCCAGAGGTAGCCTGACTGCCATTAGGTACTGAGATGAGATCCTCAGACCCCTTGTGAGACCATATTCTGGTGCGGTTGGCCCTGGATTCCTCCTAATGCAAGACAATGCTAGACCTCATGTGGCTGGAGTGTGTCAGCAGTTCCTGCAAGAGGAAGGCATTGATGTTATGGACTGGCCCGCCCGTTCCCCAGACCTGAATCCAATTGAGCACATCTGGGACATCATGTCTCGCTCCATCCACCAACGCCACGTTGCACCACAGACTGTCCAGGAGTTGGCGGATACTTTAGTCCAGGTTTGGGAGGAGATCCCTCAGGCGACCATCCGCCACCTCATCAGGAGCATGCCCAGGCATTGTAGGGAGGTCATACAGGCACGTGGAGGCCACACACACTACTGAGCCTCATTTTGACTTGTTTTAAGGACATTACTTCAAAGTTGGATCAGCCTGTAGTGTGGCTTTCCACTTTAATTTTGAGGGTGACTCCAAATCCAGACCTCCATGGGTTGATACATTTGATTTCCATTGATAATTTTTGTGTGATTTTGTTGTCAGCACATTCAACTATGTAAAGAAAAAAGTATTTAATAAGATTATTTCTTTCATTCAGATCTAGGATGTGTTGTTTTAGTGTTCCCTTTATTTTTTTGAGCAGTGTATGTTTTGCACTGAAGGGTCAATTACTTACAGTGGGGAAAAAAAATATTTAGTCAGCCACCAATTGTGCAAGTTCTTCCACTTAAAAAGATGAGAGAGGCCTGTAATTTTCATCATAGGTACACGTCAACTATGACAGACAAATTGAGAAAAAGAAATCCAGAAAATCACATTGTAGGATTTTTTATGATTTTTTTTGCAAATTATGGTGGTAAATAAGTATTATGGTGGTAAATAAATATCCTACAATGTGATTTTCTGGATTTTTTTTCTCATTTTGTCTGTCATAGTTGACGTGTACCTATGATGAAAATTACAGGCCTCTCTCATCTTTTTAAGTGGAAGAACTTGCACAATTGGTGGCTGACTAAATACTTTTTTTCCCCATTGTACCTCTTGTTTATTTTTTGAGAGGTCACACGAGTCACCCATGCTTGTCCCTCCAAAGTCCCCCTCACTGTCCCTCTCTGGTCCCACCCCCTCCCTCCCTGCCATTTCAGCTCGAGCTGTCACTGCACAGCTACTGTCAACTGGGAAACCCACTGAGATGGAGTCAGTATAATATCCTTCAATGTTAGTAAATTAAAACAAGTATTTTCTTAAAATTAACATTTTGTATTTAGGATGTAGCTAAATATGGATGTAGAGGCAAACATTTTGTAAGCGTGTGTATTATGAATGATAATAGATGGGATATAAAAACATTTATGTTACATTTCCATTCAGGAAATTACGGTATACTATTCTACTCAAAAGATGAAGTAATTTCTTAAGTGCACATACACATACAGTGGACACTGGACATATATATTACCTTGACTTTGAAACACATGCACCTGAAGCAGAAAACCCACTCTCAAAATAGCTTGTTCCCTCAACTTTCAGCTCATCTATGACAATCTGATGAAACAATCTGACAATCAAGTGATTACACTCTATGTAAAAATGCACAGTGCACCTCCAACAGAACGTGCACCTGTTTGCTATGCAACCTGTTGAGGATACATTATGGATTTGTGAACTGAGTCAAAATGAGTAGAATGATAATATAAGAAAAGTATTGTAACCTACCCATGATATGAGATTATGATATGTCCAGTCCAATTCAAAGAGATCAGGATTTCATGATTCGTCCATTCTGGATATCCCAGGTGTTGTTTTAGTGAGGAGACCTCAGTTAAGCAGATCCAAACCTGAAAAGGTCCAAGTAGACCAGTTACACTGGGTATTTCCACTGGATGAGCAGGACAAGCTCCACACTGCTGAGGATAGAGTTAGCCAGTGGGTTGTCCGGAGGTTTTGAAGTCTCTGGTATAGGTGTAGAGGGAATCTCCCTGGTCCAGACCAGGCTGTGATCACAGAGGGACACTAGTGTGAGAGCAGGTGTGTGTAGAGGCTGTTGATCACTTCACTCAGGATGGTGTCTAAGTCCCTGATAGATGTGAGGATGCGCTCTCCATCCCTCCTCCTCCTCTCACTCTATCACTGTATAAGGCAGTGACTGTCACACATTGTGCACTGTGTGATTTCCCCCTCCCCCCTCCCCAACAGACACACACTCCACTGTCCCCTCAGAGACAGTTCTTCTCTGGGTCCTAGATCACACCAATTCAAAAGACTGACATCAGCTCTGCTTTAACTGCAACTGGCATATACATGTTAACATGTTGGCTTTTTCCAACAATGTGCTTCTGTATTTTTTAGATGCAAATACAACCAATTTATTTTTTACAACCAAATATCACATTACTCATAGAGCAAGGGTTATTAAAACATGAGGTATAATCTTGTCCTGACTCCTCAACTTTCCTATATTGGATTTAGTGATTGACCCAGCTGTGGTGAAATGAGGTAATTTCCACTAATCTCTGGATGACAATATTCAAAATTGAGTGCAAGGAAGAAACTTTAATGGTAACTGTCTGTGTTGGTGTTGCTGTTTATTGAAATGTTGAATGTGTTGTCTGAAGAATGTGGTCATCACATCCAACTGTGCATCTACAGCATGTTGCAAACGTTGGGCAACAACCACTAAATAGTGGCAACCCACAGTAGTGACATCAAAAGAGCTGAATAAATTTGTCAAAACACTGGGGTCTGGGCACAATAATAAAACCACTGACTTATATAAATAGGTGAAAGCATATGCAGTCTCCTCAGAGAGAGAGGTCTGACAGCCAGCTGGATGGTTATTTGTTTATTGAGCCTGCATTATAGGTTCAAGTAAATAGATCAGGTGGAAAAAGGCTGAGAGAGGTGGTTACATTCAACAAGGTCTGAGACTGAGTGTTCACTAGTGACACCTCCTGGTTGCATGGCAGAAGGACATTCTCTCAATAGGCTGCTGTGTGGAATAAACAGCCCCGTATTCATACAGTGTCTCAGAGTTAGAGTGCTGATCTAGAATCAGATCCCCCTCTAATTATTCATTACGATTTAAAAGGCAAAACTGATCCTAGATCAGGAATCCTACTCTGAGACGCTTTGTGAATGTGGACCCAGGCAAATGTATAAACTGAGACAAGCACATTAATCATCACCACTGGAACTTTCAGAGCCTTGCTAGGTATTACATGAATATTAACATACACAGTGCACTGGGATTATAGATTTGCAAAGCTGCATGGTCTCCTTCATAGACGCACACTATAGGCAAATCAAACTTCTGTAAACATACAGAGATCATTTATAGTTATTCCTTCAATCATGCCTTTTACTCCATGCTAATACAGCATATAGGCCTATCTATTGTATTGAATTATGTTGCATGCACTAACATTCAAACAGTTATTGAAGAGAGATGTTTTCACTTAAAGTAGGTAAGTGAAAATAAAAAGCTTTATACAAGTATATTCAGAGTAGGAAATACTCACAGCAAAATTAAAACAGATGTAGTGCAGAATGAAGATACAGGTAGGTACTGTATTGCATATTAGTAAAGGTACAGTATTCACACTACATCCAGTAAAGATAAAGAGAATAGTCCTCCCATAACAGAAATGAGTGGCCAAATAGTACAATAACATTGAAAATCCACCATACTATGGGTCTGTTCAAAGTAAATATTGCAGACTAATATAATTACAATAAGGATTAGAATTTTAAGTGAGTGCAATTTTTATACTCAGTTTAAGAGTAAAATCACCAACGACTTGCAACTAAAACTGACAATGGAAGACTTCACTCAAAGCCTGTTGTGTAAAGCATAAGGCACAGATAAGTATATCTGATATATTATAGGGAACTTTGGTTGAATATGGTACTCAGTGATAGTTGTGTCTAACAACAACAACCTTCATTTGAATAATACTCTTCATACTCTACTAATTAGACGTAGCAGGAGATATCGCTCTCCTAGAGGGCATAGGTGCCTCTCCTCCTCTCCGGTTAAAACCTGAGCTCCAGCAGGTAGCGGATGCGACACTGGTTCTCCTTGTAGACCAGATACTCGCTGTTGGAGAAGTGGCTGTCCTTGTACTGGGGCTGCTTGATGGGTTCACCCTGAGGCACAGCCACCTGCTTACCATCCAGAGTCAGGAAGATGTCCTTAGACGGGTCTGAAACAACACACAGTGTTCACTACACAACTGTACAAAACACTGTACTGATATACACAACAACAGTGTTCACTAGACTGATGCAGTCTTCTGGATATCTGCTGATCATCTACCAGATGTTTAGACATACAGTGACCACTTCAGTAGTGTATATGGAGACAGACACTTACGACTATGGCTTCCCATCCTATTCTAACCACCTCTCGCCGGCTTTATATTCACATTACCTGATGAAATTGCTGTACAATATGATCTTGTTGCCATCTAATGCACATTCAAATGTCATTTTAAAAAATAAACACTGCAGGGCTCTCCCTGTCCTCTGCTGTGCCCTGATTGTATTACTGCTGATGATATCTGGAAATGTGCATGCACACCCTGGTCCGCTACTGTTGTTAGCCCCATTTCTGACTTGTGCTCCAATTTCCGCTTCACTAATTTCTGCTCTCGTAAAAGCCTGGGTTTTCTGCAAGTTAACACTATAAGCTTATTACCTAAAATTGATAAATTGAAAGTGTGGGTTCACAGCTCCAATCCAGATGTGTTGTCATTACTGAGACATGGTTAAGAAAGAGTGTTCTGAACACTGATGTTAACCTTTCTGGTTAGAATCTTTTTCGGCAAGACAGATCTTCCAAAAGTGGTGGAGTGGCAATCTTTACCAAGGAACACCTTCAGTGCTCGGTTGTCTCCAGTCTGTCCCCAAAACAATTTTATTAGCTGGTTTTAAGCATTAAACTTTCAAATAGCTCTTTGTTGACTGTTGCTGGGTGTTATCATCCACCATCAGCACCGGCCTGTACCCTACCTTCCCTAAGCTCTCTCCTGGCCCCTTACACTATGTCTGAATTTGTCCTGTTAGGTGACCTAAACTGGGACATGCTTATACCACCTGACAAAGTCTTAAAACAATGTGACTTGATGTTATCCTCACAAATAATCCTAATAGGTATCAGTCTGGTGTTTTCTGTAATGACTTTGGTGATCACTGTTTTACAGCCAATGTTCGTAATGGCTGCTCAGTTAAACGACCGGTCCTGATTTGTCACAGACACTTGCTGAAAAACTTGAATGAGCAAGCCTTCCTTCATGACCTGGCCTCTGTAAATTGGTATATAGTCAGCTTGATCCCCTCAGTCGACCTTCTTTTTTAATATTTTCAGTGGTATTGTTAACAAGCACACCCCAATAAAGAAAATGAGAATTAAAAAACAGGTTCAGCCCCTTGTTCGACCGTGATCTAGCAGAGTTACTCCACCTCAAGAACACCATTTGGCGAAAGGCAAACAAATACTCATGCTGACTGGCTGTCGTTCAGGCAAATGAGAAATAAGTGCACTCAGGCTATTCGTAAGGCCAAAGTTAGTTACTTTAAGGAGCAGTTCTCCTCCTCACAGCTCCCCATGCCCCTGGCTTCTTATATGGTGTTGAGTTAAGCTTAAACCATGTATTTAGATTGTAGGTAGGTATTGTAGTTTGATATTATAGGTAGCTTACTCAGGTAGTTATTGAAGGTTATTGTAGGTAATTATTGTAGGTAAGGACTGTATTCGGCGGACTCCGGCGAAGCACGAGGCTAGCCTACCCACTACTTGGACCAACAAAGCTAGCTAGCTAGCGGGTAGCTACTGGTAACTTTTTGCAACTATGGTTAATTGTTTCCAATGTTATTTCATGCTTAAGAGTACCTGTGATTGAGCCAGCTAGCTGCTACCATTCAGCTGTTTTTCTAACCTCATCCGAGGCATTAACGTTAGGTGGTTGGTAGCTGCTGTACTTAATTACAGCTACTGATAACAGTCTGCTGTAGTTTACAACAATTCTAATTTCTAAAGTGGAAGTTGGGAGAGTTTTACTCGGGTGGTTCAGTGAAACAATTATAGTTTCTGAGGTGGAAGTTGGGAGAGTTATATATATATTTTTTTTTTGGTGAGGGAGGCCTGCTCTCTCCTTTCCCTGATGTTTAGTTCATTTCATCCCGATCTCCTCTGCATTATTGTAGCCATCTGCTGCAGCCTGTCAACTATGCCTCTGCCTATCCCTGTTCTCTCCTCTCCGCACAGGCTACACAAATGCCTCACACCGCGTGGCTGCTGCCTCTCTAACCTGGTGGTCCCTGCACGCACCACACACCTGGAGTTCCAGGTCTCAGGCAGCCTCTGGAACTGCCGTTCTGCCGCCAACAAGGCTGACTTCATCCCAGCCTATGCCACCCTCCAGTCCCTCGACTTCCTGGCACTGACGGAAACATGGATTACCACTGAAAACACTGCTACTCCTACTGCTCTCTCCTCGTCTGACCATGTGTTCTCGCATACCCCGAGAGCATCTGGTCAGAGGGGTGGTGGCACAGGAATCCTCATCTCTCCCAAGTGGTCATTCTCAATTTTTCCCCTAACCCATCTGTCTATCTCCTCATTTGAATTCCACGCTGTCACAGTCACTAGCCCATTTAAGCTTAATATCCTATCGCCCTCCAGGTTCCCTTGGAGAGTTCATCAATGAGCTTGACGCCTTGATAAGTTCCTTTCCTGAGGATGGCTCACCCTTCACAGTCTTGGGGGATTTCAACCTCCCCACGTCTACATTTGACTCATTTCTCTCTGCCTCCTTCTTTCCACTCCTCTCCTCTTTTGACCTCACCCTCTCACCATCCCCCCCCCACTCACAAGGCAGGCAATACGCTTGACTTCATCTTTACTAGATGTTGCTCTTCTACTAATCTCACTGCAACTCCCCTCCATGTCTCCAACCACTACTTTGTATCCTTTTCTCTCTCGCTCTCCTCCAACACTACTCACTCTGCCCCTACACAGATGGTAACGCGCCGCCGCAACCTTCGCTCTCTCTCTCCCACTACTCTCTCCTCTTCCATCCTATCATCTCTTCCCTCTGCTCAATCCTTCTCCCTCCAATCTCCTGATTCTGCCTCCTCAACCCTCCTCTCCTCCCTTTCTGCATCCTTTGACTCCCTGTGTCCCCTATCCTCCCGGCCGGCTCGGTCCTCCCCTCCAGCTCTGTGGCTTGATGACTCATTGCGAGCTCACAGAACAAAGCTCCGGGCAGCTGAGCGGAAATGGAAGAAAACTAAACTCCCTGCCGACCTGGCATCTTTTCACTCCCTCCTCTCTACATTTTCTTCATCTGTTTCTGCTGCTAAGGCCACTTTCTACCACTCTAAATTCCAAGCATCTGCCTCTAACCCTAGGAAGCTCTTTGCCACATTCTCCTCACTGCTGAATCCTCTCCTCCCTCTCTGTGGATGACTTTGTCAACCACTTTGAAAAGAAGGTTGACGACATCCGATCCTCGTTTGTTAAGTCTAATGACACTGCTGGTCCTGCTCACACTGCCCTACCCTATGCTTTGACTTCTTTCTCCCCTCTCTCTCCAGATAAAATCTTGCGACTAGTGACTGCAGGCCGCCCAACAACCTGCCCGCTTGACCCCATCCCCTCTCTTCTCCAGACCATCTCCGGTGACCTTCTCCCCTACCTCACCTCGCTGATCAACTCATCCTTGACCGCTGGCCATGTCCCTTCCGTCTTCAAGAGAGCGAGAGTTGCACCCCTTCTCAAAAAACCAACACTCGATCCCACTGATGTCAACAACTACAGACCAGTATCCCTTCTTTCTTTTCTTTCCAAAACTATTGAGCGTGCCGTCTTTAGCCAACTCTCTTGCTATCTCTCTCAGAATGACCTTCTTGATCCAAACCAGTCAGGTTTCAGGACTGGTCATTCAACTGAGACTGCTCTTCTCTGTGTCACGGAGGCTCTCCGCACTGCTAAAGCTAACTCTCTCTCCTCTGCTCTTGTCCTTCTAGACCTGTCTGCTGCCTTTGATACAGTGAACCATCAGATCCTCCTCTCCACCCTCTCCGAGCTGGGCATCTCCGGCGCGGCTCACTCCTGGATTGCGTCCTACCTGACCGGTCGCTCCTACCAAGTGGCGTGGCGAGAAGCTGTCTCCGCACCACGTGCTCTCACCACTGGTGTCCCCCAGGGCTCAGTTCTAGGCCCTCTCCTTTTCTCCCTATACACCAAGTCACTTGGCTCTGTCATATCCTCACATGGCCTCTCCTATCATTGCTACGCTGACGATACACAACTAATCTTCTCCTTTCCCCCTTCTGATAACCAGGTGGCGAATCGCATCTCTGCATGTCTGGCCGACATATCAGTATGGATGACGGATCACCACCTCAAGCTGAACCCTGGCAAGATGGAGCTGCTCTTCCTCCCGGGGAAGGACTGCCCGTTCCATGATCTCGCCATCACGGTTGACAACTCCGTTGTGTCCTCCTCCCAGAGTGCGAAGAGCCTTGGCGTGACCCTGGACAACACCCTGTCGTTCTTCGCCAACATCAAGGCGGTGACCCGATCCTGCAGGTTCATGCTCTACAACATTCGGAGAGTACGACCCTGCCTTACACAGGAAGCGGCACAGGTCCTAATCCAGGCACTTGTCATCTCCCGTCTGGATTACTGCAACTCGCTGTTGGCTGGGCTCCCTGCCTGTGCCATTAAACCCCTACAACTCATCCAGAATGCCGCAGCCCGTCTGGTGTTCAACCTTCCCAAGTTCTCTCACGTCACCCCCCTCCTCCGCACACTCCACTGGCTTCCAGTTGAAGCTCGCATCCGTTACAAGACCATGGTGCTTGCCTATGGAGCAGTGAGGGGAACGGCACCTCCGTACCTTCAGGCTCTGATCAGTCCCTACACCCAGGCGAGGGCATTGCGTTCATCCACCTCTGGCCTGCTGGCTCCCCTTCCTCTGCGGAAGCATAGTTCCCGCTCAGCCCAGTCAAAGCTGTTCGCTGCTCTGGCACCCCAATGGTGGAACAAGCTCCCTCACGACGCCAGGACAGCGGAGTCACTCACCACCTTCCGGAGACATTTGAAACCCCACCTCTTTAAGGAACACCTGGGATAGGATAAAGTAATCCTTCTACCCCCCCCCCCCCCCCCCCCCCCCCCCAAAAAAAAAAAAGAAAGTATAATTGTAAAGTGGTTATCCCACTGGCTATAGGGTGAATGCACCAATTTGTAGTCGCTCTGGATAAGAGCGTCTGCTAAATGACGTAAATGTGCCCTTGAGCAAGGCACTTAACCCTAATTGCTCCTGTAAGTCGCTCTGGATAAGAGCGTCTGCTAAATGACTAAAATGTAAATGTAAATGTTGATGATGTGGTTGTTACTGACAAGGAGCCTGAGCTCTTTAATAACCACTTAATTGTCAGGATTCCTATTTGACTCAGCCATGCCTCCTTGCCCGTCCAACACTTCCTCATCTCCCAGCCCTTCTAATGCAACTAGCCCTGATGCTCCTCCCTCTTTTTCCCCTGCCCCGCTACACAGTTTGTTCCTGCAGGCGGTCACTTAGTCTGAGGTGCTAAAGGAGCTCCTTAAACTTGACCCCCAAAAAACATCTGGGTCAGATGGTTTAGATCCTTTCCTCTTTATCTATCATCGTTGAGCCTCTTGCTCTCACCTTTTTAACCTGTCTTTCCTCTCTGGGGAGGTTCCCAGTGCCTTTATTTTTAGGGGGAGATCAAGCTGATCCTAACATCATAGGTAAATTTCTCTTGCCCTTTTTATCAAAAGTGTTGGAAAAACTTGTCAATCAACTGACTGCCTTTCTTGAGGGCTATAGTATTCTCTCTGTATGCAATCTGGTTTCTGCTCAGGTTATGGATGTGTCACTGCAACCTAAAGGTCCTAAATGATGTCACCATTGCCCTTGATTCTAAGCAATGTTGTGCTGTTACTGTTATTGACTAGGCCAAAGCTTTTGATACGGTAGACCATTCTGGTGGGTCGGCTAAGGAGTATTGGTGTCTCTGAGGGGTATTTGGCCTAGTTTGCTAACTACCTCTCTCAAAGAGTGCAGTGTGTAAAGTCATAACGTTTGCTGTCTCAGCCACTGCCTGTCACCAAGGGAGTACCCCAAGGCTCGATCCTAGGCCCCACGCTCTTCTTAATTTACATCAACAACATAGCTCAGGCTACTGTACCTGGTTCCACCTGTCCTCTAGCCACCACGCAGTCGTAGCCAGTAGGAGCCTTCCTCAGGGAGCTGTCGTCCATAGTGATAGTGTTTTCCTTCCCCAGCACCACCTCGTTCAGAAACATCACCCCCGTGTTTTTAGACGTACGAACTACACAGGGACAGGACACAGAGACATGGCTGTTAGGGAGTTCCTTTTAAAGTCCCTATATGTAGTAAACAGCACAGTATTTCTTCACAAAACTAACAGTGACGTAGTAGTGCACCTAACAGTCTTATTCTCACTATATTGTATGATAACATACATTTGAAAATAGACTGGATATTCCGAAGTTGACGTCTAAAAGAGATAACGGTAGTGCCGCCACATGGTATCTATAGCCTCACCGTATGCAGCAGACTTGCTGTTCTCCGAGGCAAAGTAGATGCCTCTTCCCACGCGGCCCCCTGACTGGGGCATGATCCGCAGGCCACCCTTCAAGATGGCTGCCACCACCGCCACGTTCGTACCGTGCCACAGCAGACGCCGGTTCTCCAGACCGTCATTCTCCCTGAATCTCTCCGCCTGCGGAAAACAATCCCCACAGACACAGACCAACAGAAAGATTCACTTTAAATACTCATGCTAAGTCAAACAAACCTACAGTTATACAATATATTTTTTATATTCGTCAGCATAAAAATCAAGATCACAGCAAATGAGTAAAACAATTAATGCTGTATAATATGCTACAAGGATTATGATATGAAGTTGTTGTGCCATATGTTACCCACCTCAGTCTCTCTGTCCACCTCCCAGATATCTATAATCTTTGGCTGGTTGTGGCTACATGCAGTGGCCTTCAGGTATTTCTCTATTACCTTTAAATGGAGACAAGAATGGAAATACAATGGAAGCTCAACATTTACAATATTATTGTCTTTGTAGTATAAAGTATGCTTTGTCACAGTAAATATAGTCACCTATATGGCATTTACGCCACTAAATATGACCATCAGTATATCACTAAAGATTTGTCTGATTTTGAACAATACAGTCATGTTTGTATAGAATGAAACTTCTATTAGAGACCACAGTACCTTGAATTCCTGTGTATCTCTTTGTAGTAGACCGAGTTTGCAGTTGAGAGACAGATAGTTCTGGTCCAGTGGATGAGGTACTTTCTCCACCTCCATTTGCTCCTGGGCCTTCTTAGTCTCAGCCTTCATGTTCTGGGCTATCTCTATATCAGCCAGCACCTGCAGGGGACAGCACAGTCAGGAATGGGATCAGGCCTGGAAAAGACTACTCATCATGATTAGGGCCAGGAGTTTCACCAGACCTGATCAGGGAAAAATGGGTACTTATTGTAGGCTATAAAAAATTAATAAAATCTCTTGGCCCTAAATAGTACTGATCAAGATCAATCTCATTCCACAAAGCACAATACTGTGACAGCGTCTAATCAAGTACAAATTGATCTCACCAGAAGCATCTCCTTCTTCTGCTCCACGATCCCAGAGGTGTTGATGACCGGGGGCCTGGTGCGTCCAAAGTTGTGTGGGATGGTGGTGAAGAACTTGGAGGAGAGCTCCTCCAGTTTGGGCCTGCTGGCGTTCATGGCTCCCTCGATCTCCTCTAGCACCTCAAAGCCCTTAGCGATCTGCAGCTTGCTCAGCTTCCCCAGGGGCATCTTCTTTATGTCTGGTGGCCCATAGAGAGAGAGAGACAACCAGGGAGGATATGATTACACACATCATACTACTGCTCTGTCGGAGTTCATATGTTAGACACCTGCAGTTTATATAGGCCCATGGTGACTGCTCCTCTACATTGGTAAATGTGGTAGTTAGGAAACTTGCAATACAGCTGAATCAAAATTATATACATTTTACAGTCCTACTTACATTATCAATCAGACAGACTGGGTTTTTATATGGATTAGACATTTAGCTCCAGATCCATTTAAAATTACTCTAGTTAATGATTTAGGATACTCTTCTCTGATCACATAGAGCAGATGCCTGGGCTTCCCTGACTTCAGTTTAACAGCCAAGTATATCATTGCACTGACATAGTAAAACACAATACAACAAGCAGTCCAGTCCAACAGGTATGTTACATAACAGAACATGTGTACATAGACAGACCCCACCGAGGCTTACTGACTCAAGAACAGAGAGTTGTTTCAGTGCTGGAGGGGTACAGGTGGTGTGCTGGACTGAAATTGACACCCACCCAGGTTCATGCACTCCATGGCCTCTTTGAACATGTCATTGCTGAAGATGAGCTGGATGAGCTCCTGCGTGGGCTTGTCCAGGGTGCAAGGGAGGATGTTTCTGGGCCCCTTGACAATCATCCCATCAACACTGTCCACCTGCAAAAGCCAGAACAGAGCATGTTATAGAGAGAACAGAAATGGACACAGCAAAACAATAATGAGAGTCAGCCTGACCGCCGGAGCGTATTGTAAGATATACTAACAACAGGAGCCAGTAAGGTAAAATGTTGTTATTCTTTAGAGTATGGTTGGGCGATGTCTGAAATTACAGCTATATTATTAGATAGTTATATTAGCCTACCTTTTAAAAATGAATATTACAGCCATATAAAGTGTAGGCTATTGCTATTTCATCATCATCTTGAGCATCTGGGTAAGGGCATTTGCGTAATTCTTTCCTCATTTAGGCTACTCCAGACTGTAAAAAAAAACAGCATTTCACTTAGTAACTATAGTATAGCCTGCCTTACACTAAATCAGAAAAAAAAAAACTATGGCTGACTTAGTGTTGTTAAGCATTCTTCGGTTTCAGGACGAAGGATAAAAGGTGAGCCAGCAGACCTGACCGAAGTCACTTGCAGAATACGCAAAAAGATTCAGGGTAAAGGATGGACAGACTACAAACCTCCGTCAACATTTACAAGTCCATCATCCTACTGAGTTTGCTACTCTGGGCAGAAAAGGTGAACATGCTGGTGTTCGTTGCCAGAAACCTTTAGGTAGGCCTAAGACATGGTAAAAAACAACTACACCTAATGGTTCCTCTTTGCACTTTATTTAAATGTAGCCTATATTCAAATCCAGATGAATCTTATTCAAAATATATAGCTTATAGGATAGGTAACATATTCTGTCAAACGTTGAAAGATTTACTTGCACTTTGTTTTATTGCACAAATGTGTTATTTTCGTACTTATTTTGTTTAGGCTACTTTATTTATTTTGTAACTATATTTAGGATTTGTACAGTTCGAAAGGCAAAAGGCATTTCCTAATTGGCCTATTCATTTTTTGCCTAAGCCAATGTTCATTCAAGTGTTATAAAGAATGTTATAGGCTAAATAATTTGTTTTTCTTAAAGTTGACTTTTATACAAATGCACAATTTGTAAGCTATTCAAAAATAAAGTTGTTTGTGAGACAACTCCAACACAGACTCATCATTCATGTATTTTTTGGTCCTGCTTATTGAAAGTGCTGCGGGAGCTTATGCCCGATAGCCCGTTGCGCAATTGAAGGACATTAATAAACACTGACAATATTACACATATTAGCTTATAAGCTTAACCTCTTCTGGATAGGACCCTTCATCTCAATTTCCACCTAAAATGACATACCCAACTCTAAACTGCCTGTAGCTCAGGACCTGAAGCAAGGATATGCTTATTCTTGATACTATTTGAAAGGAAACACTGAAGTTTGTGGAGATGTGAAATGAAATGTAGGAGAATATAACACAATAGATCTGGTAAAAGATAAAAAGATAAAAACAAAAAAAACATGCGATTTCTATTTTTGTTGCATCATCTTTGAACTGCAAAAGAAAGGCCATATATTGAGATATATGTTGTCCACAACAGGGCAACAGTGTGTGTGCAAAGTTTCAGACTGATACATTCAAGAATGAGAGAGCTACATAATATTTTGTATGAAGTCTCCCAGGTGTCCCTCACGAGTTTGCCCAAATGTACCCAAGTGGCCGAATTGGTCTATTGATACATTTCCAAGTACATAACTATAGAGAACATACAAAAACGCTATGGAAATAAAACATTTAAGTTTAAGTTTACACACTCCCAGGAATGTCATACATGATGGAACATCATTAGCAGCATGAAAGGTACCAACAGAAGACGCGACGAGAACTCTGATCCAATGCCTCCCAACACAGAAGTGAACTATTTAAGATAAGGGCCAGGTTAGCAGCCAACACTGATCTAATGTCATAAATGCACACACAACAAACACATTGAAAAAAAAAACTATTTATTTATTTACACACTATTTACAATTAGAGTATTTAGAACACCCACAGTCCTCTACACAATATTGTGCTGCAGATGCCAAGTCCCATAGCAGTCTCTTTCTGCTGTGAAGCAGAGGGTAACAGCACAAGTAGTGCAGGTGATGGGAGATTTATTGTGGCACAGAGTACAATGATGCCTCCCTGCTGTGCTATTGTGGCCCTGAGGCACATTCAGGTCTGCAGTTATGCATTTTGGCCGGGTGGGTGTGGAGCCAGAGACAGCAGCAGGAGTCAGACTGAAGGAACCAGTAATTACGTTTGAATGAGTGGGGGATGGAGGACTTTAATGTGGTCTCTGGAGTTGGCTCCCAGGGGTCATCTGAGTCTCAACAACTATTGAGGATTTTAAAAACTCAGTTGGAACTCAAGTTATACTATTACTTATTTTATTTAACCTTTATTTTAGCAGGGGGTGAGCCCTGCATCAAAAAATCAAATGTACAACACATACAGTGGCTTGCGAAAGTATTCACCCCCCTTGGCATTTTTCCTATTTTGTTGCCTTACAACCTGGAATTAAAATGGATTTTTTTGGGGGTTTGTATCATTTGATTTACACAACATGCCTATCACTTTGAAGATGCAAAATAATTTTTATTGTGAAACAAACAAGAAATAAGATAAAGCGTTTTCCTAGATGGCCAAAAAGCTCAATTGTAGTCTCAGAGTACCTTTTTCCTATGTTTGGGGAGTCTCCCACATGCCTTTTGGCGAACACCAAACGTGTTTGCTTATTTTTTTCTTTAAGCAATGGCTTTTTTCTGGCCACTCTTCCGTAAAGCCAGCTCTATGGAGTGTATGGCTTAAAGTGGTCCTATGGACAGATACTCCACTCTCCGCTGTGGAGCTTTGCAGCTCCTTCAGGGTTATCTTTGGTCTCTTTGTTGCCTCTCTGATTAATGCCCTCCTTGCCTGGTCCGTGAGTTTTGGTGGGCGGCCCTCTCTTGGCAGGTTTGTTGTGGTGCCATATTCTTTCAATTTTTTAATAATGGATTTAAATGGTGTTCCGTGGGATGTTCAAAGTCTCTGATATTTTTTTATAACCCAACCCTGATCTGTACTTCTCCACAACTTTGTCCCTGACCTGTTTGGAGAGCTCCTTGGTCTTCATGGTGCCGCTTGCTTGGTGGTGCCCCTTGCTTAGTGGTGTTGCAGACTCTGGGGCCTTTCAGAACAGGTGTATATATACTGAGATCATGTGACATATCATGTGACACTTAAATAAAGTCCACCTGTGTGCAATCTAACTAATTATGTGCCTTCTGAAGGTAATTGGTTGCACCATATCTTATTTAGGGGCTTCATAGCAAAGACCCCTTCACTTTTTCCACATTTTGTTAGGTTACCGGCTTATTCTAAAATTGATTAAATAAAATGTTTTTCCCCCTCAATCTACACACAATATCCTATAATGTCAAAGGGAAAAAAGGTTTAGACATTTTTGAAAATCAGAAATACCTTATTTACATATGTATTCAGACCCTTCGCTATGTGACTCGAAATTGAGCTCAGGTGCATTCTGTTTCCATTGATCATCCTTGAGATGTTTCTACAACTTGATTGGAGTCTATCTGTGGTAAATTCAATTGATTGGATATGATTTAGAAAAGGCACACACCTGTCTATATAAAGGTCCCACAGTTGACAGTGCATGTCAGAGCAAAAACCAAGCCATGAGGTCGAAGGAATTGTCTGTAGAGCTCCGAGACAGGATTGTGTCGAGGCACAGATCTGGGGAAGGGTACCAGTAAATTTCTGCAGCATTGAAGGTTCCCAAGAACCAAATGGCCTCCATCATTCTTAAATGGAAGAGGTTTGGGACCACGAAGACTCTTCCTAGAGCTGGCCGCCCGGCCAAACTGAGCAATCGGGGGAGAAGGGCCTTGGTCAGGGAGGTGACTAATAACCCGATGGTCACTCTGATAGAGCTCCAGAGTTCCTCTGTGGAGATGGGAGAACATTCCTGAAGGACAACCATCTCTGCAGCACTCCACCTATCAGGCCTTTATGGTAGAGTGGCCAGAAGGAAGCCACTCCTCAGTAAAAGGCACATGACAGCCCGCTTGGAGTTTGCCAAAAGGCACCTAAAGACTCTCAGACCATGAGAAACAAGATTCTCTGGTGTGATTAAACCAAGATTGAACTCTTTGGCCTGAATGCCATGCGTCACGTCTGGAGGAAACCTGGAAACCATTTTTTTTTGTGTGCAACAATTTAAAAAATAATCTGGTTTTGCTTTGTATTTATGGGGTATTGTGTGTAGATTGATGAGGATTTTATTATTTAATTTTTAATCCATTCTAGAATAAGGCTGTAACGTAACAAAATATGGAAAAAGTCAAGGGGTCTGAATACTTTCCGAAGGCACTGTGTGTGAATATATATATATATATATATATATGAGAGAGAAATATCTCAAATGAATATGCAAACATTTAAAACTGCATTAGCATGAGAAGCAAAAACGTATTTTACTTACTGATCTAAAAGTGGATATTTTCCTTCTGCGCTGGAATCAAAACTGTGCTCACTCAGAGTCCTCGTCCATTCGTTCTCTGTCACTCTACGGTCAATTTCTGCAATAATCTCATCCAAATTTGTATACATGGACTTTGATTTAGCTTTTCCACTCTTAGTAGCCATGTTTTACTTTTTCAGTTTTGAGAAAAGTTTATAGAAGAGAATGAACCGCGCTGCGTAACGCAAACTACCATTCGTCCTGTTTTCTTTGAGAATGAACACGGTTGCGACAGCTCTAGCTTGATGGCTGTTTGTCGTACAAAGGGTGTTCACATACAACTGTAAAGCCCAGCTCATTGGCTATCTAGCTAGCTAAATAGGTGGTCATTGCACCAAGACACTGTCAATCAAGTGAACACCGCTCGTCTCATTGGTGCGTAATGATGGCTGACTAAGTACATTATTTACCGTCAGAGGTAAATATATCAAACCAGTTGCCTTGATAAGTGTTTTTTTGTTGTGCACTATCCTCAAACAATAGCATGGTATTTTTTCGCTGTAATAGCTACTGTAAATTGGACACTGTAGTTACATTAACAATCATTTAAGCTTTCTGACGATGTAAGACATGTCTATGTCCCGGAAAGTTCGCTGTTGTTTACAATGCCCTTCTAGTCAAATATCGCATATTGAGCAACAACTGTCCCGATTTCGGGACACTGATCCAGTATTAACTTGTCAAAGTAACGTTTAACCTACTGCAACTTTCAATGACAGTAGCCAATGTGTAGGCCAATAGCCTATTATTGGCTGTTTGGTTTGCAAGGAGGGAAATACATTCAAAGGGGATATTAAAGATTTTTAAACAATAAACCAAACGGTGTTCGCTGAAAAAGGCCCATGATCATTACATTTACATCATTTAGCAGACGCTCTTATCCAGAGCGACTTACAAATTGGTGCATTCAACTTATGATAGCCATTTTTTTTTTTTATGGGGGGGGGGGGGTGGGGGAAGAATTTAATTTTTTATTTTTTTACTTTGAGGACTCAGAATGGTGCATGAGGTAGTCACCTGGAATGCATTTCAATTAACAGGTGTGCCTTGCTAAAAGTTAAATTGTGGAATTTCTTTCCTTTTTAATGCGTTTGAGCCAATCAGTTGTGTTGTGACAAAGTAGGGTGGTATACAGAAGAGAGCCCTTTTTGGTAAAAGACCAAGTACATATTATGGCAAGAACAGCTCAAATAAGCAAAGACAAATGACAGTCCATCATTACTTTAAGACATGAAGGTCAGTCAATCTGGAAAATTTGCAGTCGCAAAAACCATCAAGCGCTATGATGAAACTGGCTTTCATGAGGACCGCCACATGAAAGGAATACCCAGAGTTACCTCTGCTGCAGAGGATAACTTCATTAGAGTTACCAGCCTCAGAAATTGCAGCCCAAATAAATGCTTCACAGAGTTCAAGTAACAGACATCTCTACATCAACTGTTCAAAGGAGACTGCGTGAATCAGGCCTTCATGGTCGAATTGCTGCAAAGAAACCACTACTAAAGGACACCAATAAGAAGAAGAGCCTTGCTTGGGCCAAGAAACACGAGCAATAGACATTAGACCGGTGGAAATCTGTCCTTTGTTCTGATGAGTCCAAATTTGAGATTTTTGATTCCAACCACTGTGTCTTTGTGAGACGCAGAGTAGGTGAACGGATGATCTCCGAATGTGTGGTTCCCACCGTGAAGCATGGAGGTGGTGTAGTGATGGTTCTTTATTTAGAATTCAAGGCACACTTCACCAGCATGGCTACCACAGCATTCTGCAGCGATACGCCATCCCATTTGTTTTTCAACAGGACAATGGCCCAACACCTCCAGGCTGTGTAAGGGCTATTTGACCAAGAAGGAGAGTGATGGAGTGCTGCATCAGATGACCTGGCCTCCACTATCACCCGACCTCACCCAATTGAGATGGTTTGGACCACAGAGTGAAGGAAAAGCAGCCAACAAGTTCTCAGCATATGTGGGAACTCCTTCAAGACCGTTGGAAAAGCATTCCAGGTGAAGCGGGTTGAGAGAATGCCAAGAGTGTGCAAAGCTGTCATCAAGGCAAAGGGTGGCTACTTTGAAGAATCTAAAATATATTTTGATTTGTTTAACACTTTTTTGGTTACTACATGATTCCATATGTGTTATTTCATAGTTTTGATGTCTTCACTGTTATTCTACAATGTAGAAAATAGTAAAAATAAAGAAAAACCCTTGAATGAGTAGGTGTGTCCAAACTTTTGACTGGTACTGTATGTACTGAAAATGTAGGCTATGGCAAATAGGGAATAGGCCATTTGGCTTGTCGCCCTGCTGTGTGTTCACTCCGCTGCGCTGTTGTGCGCTGCCAGACTCCGGTGCTGAATTTAAGTTCAAATATGCTAAAACATTGTTTATGATATCACAATGTCATTACCATCGACAATGGCTGTCAAACATCGTTGATAGACGATGCAATCGTAAAATCGCCTAACCCTATTTTAGAATCCCTAGTCCTACTGAGACCCAGCCACCACTGTACCTTGACCTCTGCATCCTGGTCTCCATCCACATCTATCAGGGTGTACTTCCCTGGGTGAGACACAAAGTTGTCCCGCTCCTTCCAGCTGTTCTTTGTCTTGTCTTTGAACTTCTTCTCAAAGTCTTTGATGGCTTTGTCTGGGCTGTCGGAGGGGTCTGATAGGTTTGACTGGCCTGTTTCTCCCTGTAAAGGAGAGAGGAGAAAATGATGCTTCAATTCTGGATGCTCAAGAAATTAATAGTTTAGTACTTAACATAATTCACTTAAATGTAGATTTACTACTAAAGTTTACACAGGAATGTGCAGTAAACTACCATCTTGTCTGTCTGAAATGTAGCTTACCACTCTCCCCCATCTGGTCCAGCAGTAGTAAGAGGCATCTATATGCAACACTTGAATAACATAAAACTTGTTGTTGTTATTTCCAATGTTGGTCTGATTCAACATGCAATCATAATCTTCATACACCTGTTGGGGAGATTAAAGGAGGAACATGATTCAGGAAAGCAGTCAGATAAAAATGGACACATTCATCTATTGCACTGCACAGCAGTCTGTCCTACTGACGTGACTGCAAGGCTGATCAAACAAATCATCAAGTCAAATACCTGTAACTAGTGACAGTTTTAGATTCCGCTACATATGAATGATTAGCACACATACTGTAGCAACACATTGGTCTTTTGAAATAGCTATAACTGAATGCAGCATATACAGTAGATATGAGTGACCTTACACACTCATTATCTCAGGTGTCTTGGGGGAGCGTACATTACAACTGAGCAAAGCTAATGTCTTGAACAAGGAGACAAGAGCATAGACCCCTTCTGTATTAGATGAATGCAGGGGGCAAGTGTATATCTCTCTCTCAGGGAGTTTACTTCCAACTGAAACTATTACTGTACCCTACATGTCACTTCTAAGGTTTGTATAATGGAAATTAGTCAGACCTCATGGATTCTAAATGAAGGGTGTGGCTGAACTGAACTCACAAAGCCATTCATTGTCATAGCCTTTATGGGGCGGCAGGTGGCTTAGTGGGTAAGAGCGTTGTGCCAGTAACCGAAAGGTCGCTGGTTCTAATCCCCGAGCCGACTAGGTGAAAAATCTGTCGATGTGCCCTTAAGCAAGGCACTTAACCCTAATTGCTCATGTAAGTCGCTCTGGATAAGAGCGTCTGCTAAGTGACTAAAATGTAAATGTAATGGTCAGTGTGTGACAAATGCTTCAATCACAGTAACACTTTCAAAGTACCTCAATGGAGTAGTAATGGCTGCACAGGAGGACTTTTGAGTTGAAATAGTACACAATATATTTGTCTGATTGGAGGTACAGGCAGCCCAATAAATAGCCTACTCCCTGCCTTGATATGATGTCCAACTCACCCTTCCTGAATGCTGTTCTGACAGCAAGCAGTGCTCATCAGCCTTCCTTTTGCCCTTAACTTCTGGCCCTGCAGCCTTCAGAGCCTCTTTGGCAGAGGTAAAGGCATCCTTTGGTGTGTCAGGCTCTTGCTTCACCTTCTTTCCACCTGCTTTATTGGCTTTGGTGGATGAGGCAGCCCTTCTCTTTGGTGCCATCCTTTATCTGTATCTCAATCACTGCAGAAAAGAGACAAACATTATGCATCATCAACACACTAAAATGTGAAGAATGAACGATAGTCCTGATGCACTTGAGGAAGGTGCTTTTCACTTCATCCCCTTTCTGGCACACTGGCACTGGTGTTTTGATACAGATGAGTGAGGCGGGGTACTTCCAGTAACACAGAAGTAGTAGCAGCAGACATCGTAGAAAAAGCAGACACAGACAAGTTCTGACATGCCCGTAAGTTCCCTGACCTGTCTAAGGAGGCACTGGGGAGGTTGAGATATGTCTTTTTAGCTAGCTACAGCAGCTGTCCTAGCTGGATTTCCATGTATAACCCCTCAGTAATGTTTAGGTAGATAGCTAGCTGGTTTAGTTAGCTTGGTGCAAAGTCCAATAACTTCCTTTTGTGGGTGTGTAACGTTAGCTAAACGCCGTTGGTATCGAGAAGTTCACGCAATAGCGTTTGCTAGCTAGCTAACTACAAGGCTATGGATGCCGCTACAGCTGACAGAAATGTGAAGCTAGCTAAACAATTTGCAAACCTTCATCAACTTGCTACTTACCTTAGAGCAGGGACTCGGCAGCTCGAGCGGTCACTGTCAGAAGTAGCACGAGCACAAAACAATCTTTTGACAGACTCACCGACTGTCGAGGGAGCGCTACTTCCGCTTTTTGGGGGAGGTGGGGGGGGGGGGAGCGGCATCAGAAAGTTGCAGATACAAATGTACATTATAGAGCAGGGATGGGCAACTGGCGGCCCACCGGATCAATACCCCCCCCCCCCCCCCCCCCCCCCACACACACACACACACACACACACAATGTGCAATTTCGAAATGTTATTGTTCATCAGCAGTTTTTCTCTTATTATGTTAGTCACTGACAGTGACTCAATTAGACAATGTCAGCTAAAACATTTTAGACTGGTAAATTAGTCTAGCCAGCTATCTATACTTGTAGTAATCATGGTCGAAGTAATGTTAGTCACTCTCACTCAGATATCATATAATAAAAAACTGCTAACATTTCTGCCCACCCCATGGCAAAGTGTGTAGAATTGCAGCAAACTTGCTTTAAAAGTACAACATTTTCTCTATGCCCCCATGGCAAAACGTGTAGAATTGCAGAAAATGAACTCTAAAACTTTCTCTCCTCTGTCAAGAGGGGGGGGGGGGGGCACTAAAATGCTTTGGGGGCAAAAGGCTAGTGCTGGCTCTGAGTGAATGTGTGGGTATGGATGTGGGTACGCAGACCCACGAGCCACTGCTGCCCCTCATGATGAGTTCAGATTTCTTGTGGCCACCACCCCCATCAATGTTGCCCATCCCTGTTATTGAGAGACTGTCCATTCAAGGTGTGGTCCGTAATTCATATAACACACTGAGACATTCATGTGCACTTTATTTTATAGGGAATTCAATCTGATTTTCTGAATTCAATGTTCTGTCATTCTGTATTGAATACAAAAGTATTATCAGGCATTGAAAATGCATTGGCAATTGGTAATAAATAAGGGACTGCTACCAGACTGCTACAGGTAGGCTATTGTTGCAAACACCATTATACTGAAGAAGAAGAAGAAGAAGAAGAAGAAGAAGAAGAAGAAGAAGAAGAAGAAGAAGAAGAAGAAGAAGAAGAAGAAGAAGAAGAAGAAGAAGGACTGCTACAGATGGCATACTTAGAGTTGTTCTGATCAGAGTTGCCTGGTCTCTGCCCTGTAACTTCAACCTGAGAATAGACGTGTGGTGCCAGGACAACAACCTCTCCCTCAACGTGACCAAGACAAAGGAGATGATTGTGGACTACAGGAAAAAAAAGAGGACTGAGCACACCCCCATTCTCATCGACGGGGCTGTAGTGGAACAGGTTGAGAGCTTCAAGTTCCTTGGTGTCCACATCACCAACAAACTATCATGGTCCAAACACACCAAGACAGTCGTGAAGAGGGCACGACAAAGCCTATTCCCCCTCAGGAGACTGAAAAGATTTGGCATGGGTCCTCAGATCCTCAAAAAATTATACAGCTGCACCATCGAGAGCATCCTGACTGGTTGCATCACCGCCTGGTATGGCAACTGCTTGGCCTCCGACCGCAAGGCACTACAGAGGGTAGTGCGTACGGCCCAGTACATCACTGGGGCCAAGCTTCCTGCCATCCAGGACCTCTATACCAGGCGGTGTCAGAGGAAAGCCCTCAAAATTGTCAAAGACTCCAGCCACCCTAGTCATAGACTGTTCTCTCTGCTACCGCACGGCAAGCGGTACCGGAGTGCCAAGTCTAGGTCCAAAAGACTTCTCAACAGCTTCTACCCCCAAGCCATAAGACTCCTGAACAGCTAATCATGGCTACCCGGACTATTTGCAATGCCCCCCCACCCCATCCTTTTACGCTGCTGCTACTCTGTTAATTATTTATGCATAGTCACTTTAACTCTGCCCACATGTACATATTACTTCAACTACCTCAACTAGCCGGTGCCCCCGCACATTGACTCTGCACCGGTACCCCCCTGTATATATAGCCTCCCTACTGTTATTTTATTTTACTTCTGCTCTTTTTTTCTCAACACTTTTTTTGTTGTTGTTTTATTTTTACTTTTTTTTGTTAAAAATAAATGCACTGTTGGTTAAGGGCTGTAAGTAAGCATTTCACTGTAATGTCTGCACCTGTTGTATTCGGCGCATGTGGCCAATAAAATTTGATTTGATTTGAGATGGGCACAAGCTGTCAAAACATGAGGATTCTGATTTCTGTTTGTTTTCCAAAATGTCTCATACCTGTGGCAGGCAGACTCAGGCCCCAGCTGGATTCTGGCTTGAATGTGATTTACACCAGCCTACCTACAGTACCTGACCTGACCCCACAGCAGACTCTGAGAGCCCTGCCTTACTGACATTACCTTTGCCTCATGGATACTAGTGATGGGTGAGCCAGCCTACATGTCCAGATTGCACCCAATCACAGCTGCACACTGCCCTCTCTGACTCAGGTGGCAGGTGTGACTGTTTTATCAACCATGGTCTGGCCATTCATATACAACTTGATTTGCCTGCCCTACACTATTTTATTTTAAATGGTCATATCATACAGTACTGTATCATGATATGGGTTAATATTTGCTCAGATTATGGCACACTATATTACCCAAACACTGGTGAAAGTGTAGTTGGTGTAACTTTTAAACAGAGAGCTCTCTATACCTAAAACTATTCCATTACTCATATTAACAGGCCTTATCAACTTTGCAGTGCATGATTGGAATGTCTTATGATTACTCAATTATGTTAACATGTGACTGTGAATGTCTGGGTGTAAGGACCAGTTTTTACAGCCTGGTCTCATAGACTAGACGTAACATAGTAAATGTTAATCCGGGACACTCAAATTAGTATGATATGTTACTTTTGGTATGGTTACATAAGACAGATGGTTACTTAAGGCAGAAATGAAAGTAGGGTGGTTGGTCAGGTTGGAGGAGTGGGCGTATAACACAAATGTCTAGCAACCCAAAGGTTGCGAGTTCCAATCTCATCATGAACATTTAGCATTTTAGCTAATGAGCAAATGTTCAACTACTTACTACTTTTCAGCTATTTTGCAACTTTTTATTTTATTTTATGTTATTTCACCTTTATTTAACCAGGTCAGCCAGTTGAGAACAAGTTCTCATTTACAACGGCGACCTGGCCAAGATAAAGCAAAGCAGGTGTGATAAAAACAACAACAACACAGAGTTACATATGGAATAAACAAAACGTACAGTCAATAACACAATAGAAAATCTATATACAGTGTGTGCAAATGTAGTAAGTTATGGAGGTATGGTGTGGTCCTCTGTAGCTCAGCTGGTAGAGCACGGCGCTTGTAACGCCAGGGTAGTGGGTTCGATCCCCGGGACCACCCATACACAAAAATTTATGCACACATGACTGTAAGTCGCTTTGGATAAAAGCGTCTGCTAAATGGCATATTATATATTATTTAGGGTAAGGCAATAAATAGGCCATAGTGCAAAATAATTACAATTTAGCATTAACACTGGAGTGATAGATGTGCAGAAGATGATAGAGATAGAGATACTGGGGATAAATGAGCAAAATAAATAACAATGTAAATAACAATATGGGGATGAGGTAGTTGGGTGGGCTAATTACAGATGGGCTGTGTACAGGTGCAGTGATCGGTAAGCTGCTCTGACAACTGATGCTTAAAGATAGAGAGGGAGATAAGTGTCTCCAGCTTCAGAGATTTTTGCAGTTCGTTCCAGTCATTTGCAGCAGAGAACTGGAAGGAGTGGCGGCCAAAGGAGGTGTTGGCTTTGGGGATGACCAGTGAGATATACCTGCTGGAACGCATACTACGGGTGGGTGTTGCTATGGTGACCAATGAACTAAGATAAGGCGGGGATTTGCCTAGAAGTGATTTATAGATGACCTGGAGCCAGTGTTTTTTTTTCGACTAATATGTAGTGATGGCCAGCCAACGAGAGCGTACAGGTCACAATGGTGGGTAGTATATGGGGCTTTGGAGACAAAACGGATGGCACTGTGATAGACTACATCCAATTTGCTAAGTAGAGTGTTGGAAGCTATTTTGTAAATGACATCGCCAAAGTCAAGGATCGGTAGGATAGTCAGTTTTACGAGGGCATGTTTAGCAGCATGAGTGAAGGAGGCTTTTTTGCGAAATAGGAAGCCGATTCTAGATTTAAGTTTGGATTGGAGATGCTTAATGTTAGTCTGGAAGGATAGTTTACGGTCTAACCAGACACCTACAGTTGAAGTCGGAAGTTTACATACACTTAGGTTGGAGTCATTAAAACTAGTTTTTCAACCACACACATTTCTTGTTAACAAACTATAGTTTTGGCAAGTCGGTTAGGACATCTACTTTGTGCATGACACAAGTAATTTTTCCAACAATTGTTTACAGACAGATTATTTCACTGTATCACAATTCCAGTGGGTCAGAAGTTTACATACACTAAGTTGACTGTGCCTTTAAACAGCTTGGAAAACTCCAGTACTTGATGTCATGGCTTTAGAAGCTTCTGATAGGCTAACTGACATAATTTGAGTCAATTGGAGGTGTACCTGTGGATGTATTTCAAGGCCTACCTTCAAACTCAGTGCCTCTTTTCTTTACGTCATGGGAAAATGAAAAGAAATCAGCCAAGACCTCAGAAAAAAGATTGTAGACCTCCACAAGTCTGGTTCATCCTTGGGAGCAATTTCCAAATGCCTGAAGGTACCACGTTCATCTGTACAAACAATAGTACGCAAGTATAAACACCATGGGACCACGCAGCCATCATACCGCTCAGGAAGGAGATGCGTTCTGTCTCCTAGAGATAAACGTACTTTGGTGCAAAAAGTGCAAATAAATCCCAGAACAACAGCAAAGGACCTTGTGAAGATGCTGGAGGAAACAGGTACAAAAGTATCTATATCCACAGTAAAACGAGTCCTATATCGACATAACCTGAAAGGCCGCTCAGCAAGGAAGAAGCTACTGCTCCAAAACCGCCATAAAAAAGCCAGACTACGGTTTGCAACTGCACGTGGGGACAAAGATCGTACTTTTTGGAGAAATGTCATCTGGTCTGATGAAACAAAAATAGAACTGTTTGGCCATAATGACCACCGTTATGTTTGGAGGAAAAAGGAGGC